TCCACAACTAGATTGAAGAACAAAACGACAGCAACTTGTCTGTTCCCCTTCCCCTAATTCCCCAGTACTGTTCCCATCCCCCAATTACCCAATAAAAAAAAAATCTTTAAAAAAAAACAAAAAAAAACAGAGGTACTGAATAATAGGATGGACACTTTAGAAACACAAATTACTGAGTTAGAAAACCAGATTTAGATTGGTATCAAAGTAAAAAGTGATATAATTTATGAGAGGTGAAATAAAAATATAAAATTAGAAATGAAGCCTTGATCCAGGAGGAGAACTTATATAGAGCAAGGGGGCATTGCTGTTCAATGGGTATAGTTGAAGTTATGCTAGATGTATAAGTTCCAGAGATCTGCCATACAACATAGTTCCTATAGTTAACAATAAGGTACTGCATACTTCAAAATTTGTTACATGAGTAGATCTCATGTTAAGTGTTCTTACCTCAATAAAAGTTGAATGTCCTGAAGGAAGGATCAGGGTGAATGTGGTCAAGTAAATCAGTAGTAGAAAATGTCTTTGAGATGAAATAATAATAGCAAGACAATTTTGAGTATTCAGATCAGTCATGAATTAAAGAAAGACCAGAACACAACATAGCCTGGGACCAATGGTAAATGCCAGGGATAATGTAGAAGAATGAGATTGTGCATTGTTTACTGACATAAAGGTAGTCAAGTAGAAAAACACACTTGGGGCCGGTCGAGTGGCTCAGTTGGTTAAGAGCTCACTCAAGAGTGTGAGCTCTGAGCAACAGCGGTTCGAGTCCCGGCCCAAGCTGAGCAGCCACTGAGCTGCCAACAGGTGGCAGGATGGCTCAGCTTAAAAAACAAACAAAAAACACACTTGTTAATGCCAGAAAATTGACATTTTATAATGCTGGTTGAATTATTTATAAGATCACTGAGATCATAGTAAGTTAATTATCAGAAGATTGGTGAGCAAATTTAATCTCCTATGACAAATATAGCTTGTAACTTTAAGTGAAACCATATAATTTTCTGTCATAAAAATTTTATCAAACATAACCTCAAGATTATAAGTCAATAATTTTTGGAAGATATTAAAACAAGAGTATCTCTCAATGTTATAGAAAAGCTCTATATACTTTTTAGTAAAGAGAATTTATGGAAACTCAACTTTATGATGACAAGATACAGATTAAGAATAGATTTAACTTTAATATTTATGAACTGATCGCAACTATTCCTAGGCTCATTCCTTGTCTATCTAATCTAAGGGTGATGGCTGACATAGCACTCCCAGAAACTTATGGGTATGATTTCATCCACGTTGCTAACCAAGACTGAGGCTTTTAGTCACATGCTTTTTTATTTTATAAGTAAGAATAAAATGTTCAAAACATCCTGTCAAGATAGATCACCTACAAAGAAGAAATATTTAGAGTGATATCAGTGGTGGTCACTGGTTTTTTATGTACCTAGCACCCCTTCCTTTGGGAAACTGCTTGGTCCATGTTTTGTGAACCAAGATTCCTTTTTGGTCCAAAACAAAAAAAGTTGGGTTTCTCTCACTTGTAACCCAAAAAGTACTTTCTAAACTTCATAATTCTCAATTGCAATCTTCAATTCAAGGAAACATTTACAGAGATGTGAAGAAAACATTTCCTCGACGCAATCCAAGAGTTGTTCCAGTTTATACATACATGAACTTTGTGATCTAGTGGGGTATCTCTTAGGACTAAATTCAGCAGGGGGCAGTGCGGTGGCTCAACCCATTAACCCTCCTTTTATAAGTTCTCTAGAGGTTGTGACAACCTGGAGAAGCTGTTGCAGAATGTAGTGAACCTAATGTGAGAAATAAGTGGGTTTGGGCAGTGCAAGAGGTAAACCATAGCAGATGTTGTAGTTGTACCATATCATTAATGCCAGTTCTTCTATGGAAGTGATCATCTTTTAAAAATAATTAATTTGTAAGACTTATTTATATGTTAAGGACCTTAAACTATTATCTGCCATATATGTTATGAAATGCATTACCTAATTTGTCATTAATCTATTTTTCTTTACAATATTTTGCTGTATGACAGCTTTACATTTTATGCAATAAATTTATCAGTATTTTCATTTGTGGCTTTTTGGTTTTATGACATGCTTAGAGTAGCTTTTTCCACATTAAGATAATATAACTATCCACCCATGTTTTATTCCAATATGTATATGGTTTTATTTTTGTTTAGTCCTTAATCCATCTATAATTTAGTTTTGTGTATAGGGCTCTCACTTTAGTGCATCCCAATGAATAGCTGATCATCATATTAAATCACCTCTCTTCTCCCCAGTGATATAAAATGCCACCTTTATTGTCCATTAAAGTTGCATGCATACACTATTATAAGCTCTAGTAGATACCATGTGGCATATAAAGTACCTTATAATCCTTTAAGCCTAAGAGGATACAGCTACTATAAAGATGGGTTTCAGTATCAACACAGATGTTTATGCACAGACACAAAAAGATGTGTGTATGCTTAGCTGTCAAGTAGAGAGACTGGGAGAGGTTCAAATGCAGTAGATGATATCATAAGGAGTGGTAGAATTCTATTTGGAACTTCAAAGACTTTAGGAAAAGATTCTGGCCAGCTTCTTCTGCCACACTCTGAAGACTGAGGCCTAATTCACTGGCTTCTTTGGATCCCTTTGTGCTAAGTCAATTTTCAGGTAAGTGGCTTCCCACCTGACATGGCTCTCTTAAGGCCCTATCAATCAGTGCATGGGTATATCTGATATGAATGTCTTAAGTAATAGAAAGCCTACATTATAATGGCCCAAATAGGGTTTTATTTTTCTCTTGCCAAGCAGTTCAGAAGTAGGCAGCTAGAGGTATTGGCTTAGTGGCCTGAAATTGTCAGAGCCAGAATAGATGTCATTTTCTTGGCCTTTTCTAATGTATATTGCCACCTGGTCACAAGATGGCTGCTCCAACCTCAGGTAACACTTACATAATGTTTGAGGCAGCACAAAGGGAAAATGGTAGCACCGTCTCTTTCATCAATACAGCAAAACATCTTCTCAGAAGTTACCCATCAGGTTTCTGTTATGCTTCATTGTCCAGAACTATGCCAACAGAGCCACTGCTGTCTGCAAGGATGGCTGGGAAAGAAGGAATTCAGCTTTTTCAGCTTCTCTATTGTATGTAGTAAGTGAAAACAGGGTGGGAATGATTGTTGGCTCAAGCAATGAACAATATCAGCAAAATTCACCATCCACTCATTCATTCAAAAATATTTATTGAGCATCTGAACACCCCCTGTGCTAAGTACTATTCAGCAGTGAACAAAACAGACAAAAATCTCTGCCCTCGGGTTACTGACATTCTAATCAGGAAAGACATATAATGAAATAGAAAGATAAAATATACATTATACTCGGGCCGGCCGACTGGCGCAATGGTTAAGAACTCGCTTGGGATGCCAGAGGGCCCCGGTTCGGATCCCACATATGAGGGCCAGTGACACTGCCCTCTACAGCTAAGATGCTGAACAACAGCTCAACCTGGAGCTGGGCTGCCGTGAGTCGCCAGTGACGGCGTAGGCTGCGGCCCCTGTGGCAGTGGGTTGCCATGGGCTACTGTGTGTAGCCAGCAGCCAGCGTGAGCGGCCAGCAGCTGCTGTGAGCGACTGTCCAGAGGCCAGCGACTGATCTGCCTCGCCCAGAAGAGCGCAATGATGGTGCCAACTTGGGCCAGTGAAGCAACATCCTCCACAACTAGACTGAAGAACAAAACGACAGCAACATGTCTGTTCCCCTTCCCCCAATTCCCCAGTGCTGTTCCCATCCCCCCAATTCCCCAATAAAAATCTTTTATATATATATATATATATATATATATATATATATATATATATATATTATACTCAATACTGATGAAGTTTATGGAGAAAGGTCAAGCAGGAAAGAACTACGAAGTTTGTGGGAGAATGGTACAATTTTAATAAAGGGTTCTCAAGAAAGTCTTCATTAAGGGGGTGATATTTGAGCACCTGAAGGAGGTGAGAGAATGAGTTATGAGAATATCTGAAGGGTGGGGGGGAAGAATTCCTTGCAGCGAGAATAGCAAATGGGAAAGCCCTAACGTAGGAACACATCTGGCTTGTTCAAGAAGAAATGAGGCTCAGCTGAAGTGATCAAGAGGAGATAACAAGGTGTGAGTTCAGGGAAGTAAATAGCACATAATCTGACTTAAAACAAAACAAGATCTCTTTGGCTGCTCAGTGGAGGAGGCTCAAAGGAGGTGAGGATGGAAGCAGGGAGACGGACACAATGGTGGGTAGCAGTGGAGGTGGTCCGAAGTGGCAGCCTTATGCGTGCACTTTGTAGATAAAGCAAACCAGGCTTTTCTGATAGATAAGGAGTAGGAAAAAAAATAAGTCAAACATGACACAACAGGTTTTGGCTTGAACAACTGAAACAATTTCCTCTGAGTTGGGAAAGTCCAAAGGGGGATCTAGCTCAGAAAGGAATGTCAGGTAGCTGCTCCGATAGAGCATAGTCAATTTTTATTTTGTGTTGTTTTGTTTTGTTGGAAGGGAGATGCATTTTGCTTTGGAAACTGACCATGTTCAGGATTCAACAGTGTCAGTGGGTGAATTATTCTTCTGTTCATGACAGGCGAGAAGCTTTTTGCAGTAAAAACTAACCCACCATTTTCTAACTTTTCAGACAAAGCTACCGTAGAAAGAGCCAAGGAAAAAGCTGTGTGGGTGCAACAAGTGGCCCTCAGGAGAGTCATGGAGCCCCAGAAGCTGCTGAGCATTGGGTTTCTGCTGTGCTCTCTGACTTGCCTCTTATTGGAGTCTGTAGCTTCCTCTAGGTTACCTTCTTCTTCCTTTGGAGCACAAGACAAAGCAGGATGGAAACCACGCTCCAGGGGTATAATCGCAGTTAGGATGAATGTCCCTTTCTTCCTAACACATAACACTCATGTCTCAGGTCAGGAAAAGCACATTTTGTATGTAAACATAGTGTTCACAGGAAAGCAAATTATTCGGGTTTGGTTCAATTTAGTTCAACAAGCACTAACCCACTTACTATGCACCAAGCCCTTTGCTGAATGACATGGGTTACAGGTTCACGGATGGACTGCCAAGGCCATAGTTGCCAACCTTCCATGGAGTATGACAAATGCTCCCTGAGGACCAAAGGGTAATTAAAGTTGTTTTGGTGGTGGGGTCAGGGCACACTTGACAAAAGAAGTTAAATTTAAGTGAAACCTGCTGACCCACTGATTCATGGCTTAGGTGCTCCCAAGGCCCAGATTCTAACACATGCACGCAGGCTGCTCCAGCTCTGGCAACTGGCACACTGCTGAGGGCTGAACCCTCTTGCCTCTACACCACAGACACTTTTGTTTTCCCTACCATTTCTTTGGGGTTCAGTCACAGTACCCTCTCCTTCCTCCCTCACCTCTGAAAGGAAAGACCCGATATCTCAACATCTCAAGCCTTCCCTTGATCAACAGACTCCCTCTAAAGTTCCTCCTGGCAGCTGCCCTGCTCCCTTATCCTCTGGATGCTCCTAGGGTCAGCAGCCTTCTCCTTTCTCTTCCTGGGACTCTCATGGCCCTCAGTCTCCTGCAGAACTCCCAAACATACTCTAGGCAGCAACACATTAGTTATCAAAGCACATTCCTCTTTCATAAAGTAGCCCATTTACTCACCAAGACCTCAAAACAGCCCTGAAGCAATCTGGGGCAGAGCTTACTGTTCCTATGCGACTTATGAGGAGGCAAAGATGATATCCATCGGAGGATACCTTTTTTTAACGTATACCCGTTGGACATCTTAGAGGAAGCACAGCAAAGCAGATAAAAGATATGGGCTCTGGACAACTATAAGAGCATTATATCTGAGACAACCATTTGAACTTGAACCAGGGTTCAAATCCCAGCCTCATCATTTACTTGACCTCTCCTCAATGGAACTCTATGCTCTTTCTGCAGAAAACCACGGATCCTGGCTGAGCGACTTCAAGGATTACTTGTGGAATCTCATCAAAAGCTCCCTACCTTCAGCAGCCATTTTTGCTTTTCTTCTCAGTGGAATAGTAATGGGGATCCTCTGCTGCGTCACGTAAGCTATTGTGGGAGGAGAGGGGAGGAGAGGGGGAACCTGAGGAAGAGGCACACCGGTTCCTCACCAGCCTGCATGTCAGTAATTAAGAGGAATTTGTAAGGAAGGTGATTCTGGAAACAAAACTCTGAAAGGCCATGCCACCCCCTTTTAAAGTCTCCTCTTTCTCTTTTTCCTCCAACCTGCTCTGCCCATCACCAAAGACCTACAGGTGACATGTAACAACCAGGTTTTTCTGCAACTGATCTTTTCTTTTTTTATATATATATTTTCTATAGCTGAACCATCCTGCCACCTGTTGGTAACTCAGTGGCAGCTGAGCTCAGGCCAGGAATCAAACTGGTGACCCTGTTGCTCAGAGCTCACACTCTTGAGTGAGCTCTTAACCAACTGAGCCACTCGGCCGGCCCTCAACTGATAATTTCTTTACTAATTTCATTAGCTCCTAAGCATCCTTCCCTTTGGTTTAAGAACTACACGTGGTAAATATGTAATTAACTGTGTGTTCAATTACCTGAAAATTTACCAAAATATTTATATACATAAATCATGTGAAGCCAAAGAGATTCCTGAAATAGTTTACAATATAATTAAGCATAGCTAGAAAAACCTAAATTTTATTAATTCAGTCAGTACTTACCAAGGGATAACTACCTGACTCTCTCTCTCCTGGTTGCTAGACAGACAGAGAATTAAGACAATGGAATAATTACAAACTGGTGGGTCAGTGCTATGGCAGGAGATAGTCCAAGTGAAGGAACCTATGGAAGTATATGATGGGATTAAAGAAGGCTTTGTGTAGTAAAGGACTGTTCAAACTTCAAGCTAATAATGTGGCTGAGGACAAAGATCAAATTAAGGGTGTGGTGTCTCCACCTAGGACTCCTAAGAACCTGAAAATGATCACAGGATCAAGAACTGTATCTAGCAAACAACCGTAGATATGGTTACTGGCACATAGAACTGATTGGAGCCAAATAGAAGTCAGCTGAATTTTTGAGGGACGATTATTGCCAAAGAAACCATGAACCAGAACAAAAAATGAGCTATCCATTGTTTGAGCCTCAAAACAGTATTTGGGTTTGAAGGCTGCTAAGAGGGCATGTTCCCCAACACTGGCTTAGGGCGGGCCTCCCAGAGGGTGGGCAATGGGCCAGGGAGCTCCTCTTATAAGGTAAGATCCCTGCCTAGTCAATGTCTGCCCAGCAGGATTCCATGATTACTACAGAGCAGCGACTGCCATGTGTCTTCCATGTTTATGGTGGTTATCCTCTTCCCGCTCAGCCGTTGCATATGGGGGTGTGGAGATGACGGACATATAACTTGTTTCAGTTCATAGGTCACTTAACCAAGGAGAGCTACACCCAGACTTGAGAGAACCAAACATCACCCAGATACTCTGGACTTTGAGCTGGGCATAGTGACAAATAGGCTTAAAGTCTTGGGGGAAAGTTGTGCCACAAGTCAGGTGGTCTGGAAGCAGATAGTGAGATAGGAGTTCAGTACGCAGGGTGTGTTCTCAGGGCTCAATGCCTGCAGAGGGTAGGGAGAGGAAGGGAGAAGTTAAGCTGCCTTGCAAGTTCAACAAAGACTTAGTTGACCCCATCAGAGCTGTCCCACAGCAGTGTGAAATAGCTGGGCCTTTGTCACCACACCTCCATCTGTTAATGGATGTGGGAAGTCCAGGCAGCTCTTGACAGCTGAGGCAAACCCCGAAATTGCTAACAGCTACAAGCTGATGCCAGCACTCTCCGCAGTTAGAGGAACAATGTCATTTCCAAGGGGGAACCTGGGTGGCTGCATTCCATGTATGGAAAGAAGTGTGGAACAGATATCGGGTAGTCAATAAGACAGACTGTGACGTAGACCAGCTATATGTTCACCAATCCTGTTCCTTCTTCCCAAACACAGAGGCAAACTGTATCTCCCAACTAAAGAAGCCAGGACTCAAGGCAGGATATATCTGATTCTGTACCTTTTAATGTTACTCAAACCATGGCCAGCAGGCAGCTTCATCAGAAACATCTGAAGTGTTGGGTAAATGTGCACATTCAGAGAGGCTTCTGTGAAAATAAAGCAGGCAACAGGCCAAGAGAAATACTTCCTTCTTTGAAGTAGATGGCTCAACCTGAGGAGAAAACCCAGTAAGCCCTTGCTGGGAACAAACAAGCTGGCTAGCGAAAGAAACATCAGGGCAGTGAGGGCAAGAGGGCAGGCCAGATACAGGAAAACCAAAGAAGACATTGATGAAAACATATAAAGGGAGATATGAAATGCAGTATCAAAAAGCCAGCACTATTAAACAGAGATAAACATTTTAGTGAAAGTAAGACTAGAGAAAAAGTGACAGATGCAGGAGACATGATTTATCTATTTGTAGAAGGAAACCAAAGCAATACAACAGAATAAAAAATACTTCAACGTATAATGTTTTAAACGTTGCAGAAATAGAAGAAGACTTGAATCTATAGTCATAAAAGGGCACATCAAGTCACAGGAGAAATTGGCACTTGGTACTGGGCACATAGTAGACTGACAATAATACTTGTTGATTTTTTTATTAATATATTTCACAGCAAGGACTGCACACACTTTCTCTTTGCCTCTTTATTCACCGTCTCTACTCACTGATACACCACTAGCTGCAGCTTTAATGAAGGTTTAAGCTAGTTGCTTGTTACCTGAGGAAACCAACATGGAACAAACAAGCTGGCTAGCGAAAGAAACATCAGGGCAGTGAGGGCAAGAGGGCAGGCCAGATACAGGAAAACCAAAGAAGACATTGATGAAAA